AATCGAAGGATTTTCAATCAAGTGTTTCGACTCTTCAAATTTCATGCAGCAGTGTTTTCGACATCAATTTGTTTCGTAACAAACTATTTACCATTTTGCATAATTAGTATTTTCTTAATTTGGTTGCTGAAATGATTAGTTTTCAACTAGTCCTTGATATTCCTTCACTTCGTGGGAAAAGGATGTCGGGGATTCCGTGATCATAACTGTTCATTGTGTGAGGTTAGTTTTCGTTATGTATTATTTATATTTAATTTTAAATTTTAAATAATTTTTTTTCGTATGATATACGATGAACGATCACGAGATCTTTAAGATCCCGAGGATCCTTTTCCTACTTCGTGATCAATATCATTGAGTCCGGGGATTTGATATTGATTACTACATCGTTGATATTTAGTCAATATGTTGTCGATGTTTGATTATGTGTTTGTTAAATAATTGATAAGTGAGATCCTTAATTAGAAAGTTCCAAACAGATACTTGGTTAATAGACTTTTAGCAAACAAAATTCATTGGGATAAATCGTCTCTGTGAGATTCAAAGCGTTTCAAAGAATGAATCTGTAGAAGCTAAGAATGACGTAAAAATCTGCTTGACGGTATTAGATAGCACTCGTGGGCGATGGCAGCCACGGACCATTGCCGGCCACCGGACATCATGGTGTCGGAACTTCGCAGCAACCAAATACTTTTACCGGATTTGGTAACCTGCACAAATGCAGCGAGGGTGAATCTGTTCTATGTAAGTATTTCTCGTGATTAAGCAAATAAGCAATAAGAATAACAACTTTTCGAAGCAAGAACTTGCCTCAAGACAAAATCACAAGACCAAGGTACATGGCTCCGCAAAGAAACCCGAAAGATATAAACCCCCTACAAAGAAAGCTCTTCGGAGTTAGAAAAAACAGCTGAAGTAGGGCACAAGAGTATGCCTTGCGCTCGGGCGGAATTCTTATTAACGATAAGGAGCTCACCAGATGACACCCCATCCACAACCAGTGCAGCACGGACACTCTTCTGCAAATTTCTCGGCGTCACTTGAACGAACTCTACGGGATATAAGATCGTCATAGATATCTGCATTGTTACAATTAAACATTAAACGGAGTTGACGAATGCAACAACTGACGGGTTAACTTGAGGATCAAATATTTTGTTTCTTCCTCGTACCATAGACTGAAAACAAGCTGTTCATTACACCTGCATTAGACAAAATAGAACCGGCAGCGATTAGTTATTCCCGTAGTTTTGGAAGATAACAAAAAGAAAGGAACTAGAAGAGATTCAATTACCAATAAATAGAATAATGTACCGAAGTACACGAACTGTTGTTGTTTCTTGCAGAACCCAAATTACGCCGAGAAAAACAATGAATCCTGGCGGTGTAAACATGAAAAACAAACGTCATATTGCATCCTTTGCTAGTCATGGGAAGATATGCCACTGCAACTAGAATACATACCTATACAGAGTCCTCGGAGCATCCACTGCACATCATCAAGCAGAACAAACACAACAGGATAAAGATGAAATCCATTGTTAGGCAAACACGTCGTCTATTTGACAAACTTATGCATTCAGTATCGATGAAATCCGATGTTAAACTGTTACATATCCTGACGCTTCAAGCAAAAGCATGTCTATTAGCACTTACATTTTTAGCTATGCACAGTACAATCAGCAGTGCAGCAATAAAACACCCAGCAGCTATTCGAGTGGTAAGGAGATTTGTAGATGCAAGAATCAAGATCATCCCCCAAAAGGACGAACCAAGATCTGGTAAAAATGAGACGGATAACAATTGCATCAGACTGAGAAACAAACCATATTTGACCCGAAATGTCCAAATGGTAAGTACAAAATATCATGCATTTGAAAACAGTTCCCAACGGAGAAGAGGTCAAAGATAAAAGGAATTACATCCAGCGGGCAAAATCAACCAGTATACACCACCCCGAGTTTGTGTGGTTCCGCCCTCATCTGCATGAACTTGAATCCCTTCCACCTGCAAACTAATCTGTATCATTACCTGCCTCTAAACATAGCCAATTACGAAGACATTCTACGCGTTTTCATTAGGACATCTCAGCAAGGCATTTCATTAAAAGAATACAACGAAGTGCATACAGAACATATACGAAAGAGCGTTGTTACTGGAAGCAAGTGTCATTTCTCCTGACCTGAAGTATCAGTCACTAACAAATACACTATTGATTCAACAAAACTAGAGGCGGGCAGGCAGGCATTCTGTTCCAGTTTATCAACGTAAACTTTCGATGAAAATATGGAAGAGGAGGGAATCTTACATGACCACATGTAAGTTTACAAGCAATAGCATGGCTCGCCTCGTGAAGAAACACAGTGACAAGCTTGAACGGTCTCAGAAGTACTGTCCTCCAAAGCTACAAGGAACGAAGAACGATTCACAATTCATGAATAATTACATTTCTCCTTAAAACTAATTTGGGAAATGAGCTCAAATGATCAGAAATCAAATCCCAGCTGAACTGATCAAAATTAAATATCGAAGTAGAAATCAAATGATCGTTTCAGCAATTGGGAATTGAAAAAACGACCATTTCGGCCAATTTAACTTTAAATTAAGCACTGGCAAAGATCCCAAGCCCCAAAATTTGTTAAGAGCAGAAAACAAATCAACAGGGAATCAAACTGCTCTTCATTCCACAGCTGAAGAACAAATTTTATGAACCAAAGAATCGATCCAATTCTCCAACTTGTCGAAAAACAAATCTTTACCCAGATCAAAGCGACACTCCAACTTCTCAAATATATATCAAAAGCCATGGAAAACACTGGCCAGAACCAATGTAAGTTAGAGAGAGAGAGAGAGAGAGAGAGAGTTTTACAGCAAGTATGATGACAGTGCAGACAGCAACGGTGATGAGGAAGACGACTTGCTCGTGGTTGCAGCAGTTTGTGAGTTCCCAATTAGGCCTCATCTCTGACCCCAAATTTAGAGAGAGAAAGTTGGTGTCCCCCTCTCTCTCTCTCTTCGCGATCAAAGAGAGAGTATAAAGATTGAATTTTTTTAATTTGAAGTGAGAGTGAGGAGAATGCAGAACAAATTTTGAAGACGGGGCAAAACAGATGAGAAGAAGTTTTGAAAAAGTTTGAATCTTTTGGTGACCAATCAGGAGACTAAAACATGTCTGGAAAGTAGTAAAAATCCCATGACTTTTGTCTCGCCGGATGCACTCTTTCCACGCTACTTCCAGATCCAACCCATTTCAAATTCTTGGAGTTAATTTTACCAAAAAAACAAAAATCTTGGAGTAAAAAGGCTCTTCTTTTTTGTTTTTGGAATATTTGGGAATATACAACGTATTGGTTCTTGAAAATTTGATTGATTAATTTTACCTCCCCCAACTATCATGTGAGGGGCAATTTCCCACCTAGACTATTTTTCAATCAATTTACTTTTTTTTTAAAGTTTGATTTTTGTTAAATGCGAGTGTAAATCACATTATTACTAATTCATTATAAAGTTAAGCTCATTCTCTACCCTTAAAGTAAATAATATAATTTGTTCAAAAAAAAAAAAAAACTATGTAAAGGTGACAAATTGTAAAATGTAAACACAAAAATTTCCTTTTATGTTTTTGATGAATTATTTATGTATACCAAATGAGGTCTTATACATGCAATTATTTTTCACAAACTTCAAATTCTTGTTGAAGTACTGCCACTTAATACTACGGTCTAAGATCATCTCCAACTGACCCGGCCAAAGCACCATAGGGCTAAAAATAGCTAAGAATAACACGAAAATTGTCTCTAACCAAGGGCTAGGCCAAAGGGCCCCACCAGGCCCAAACCCCCAAATCAAGCCAGCCCTTTAGCGCCGACATTTTGCCAGCCCTCCAGCTCAGCCCATTTGAATGCCAACGACTAGCTAATGTCATGCTGCTGTCAGGTCATCGTTGGAATTTGATTTTTTTGTATGAATTTAAAAAAAAAAATTTCTAATTTTTTTTTCCTATAATTGCCAACAACATTCCTACAACATTGAAAAACTGAAGATAAGAAGTGCCACGTAGATAAGAATCCTATCTAAAATTTGCACAACCAATTACATCTCGACATGTGACACTCGAAATCCTATCCGAAAAATTATTAAGATTGATAAGAAATCTGGAGAGTTACTCACTTTAGCTACACGTGTCACTTGAAATCATATCCGAAAAATTATTGAGAATACATAAAGATAAGAAATCTTGAGAGTTACTCACGTTAGCGGCACGTGTTACTCGAAATCCTATACAAAAAATTATTGAGATTATATAATGATAAGAAATCCAGAAGCTTATTCATTTGGCGACAAGTGACACTCAAAATACGTCTGAAAACCTTATTTTAATATGGTAGTTTAATTTAATTAACAAATTAAACTAACCATATTAATTTAATTAAAATAATAAATTATGTTTGACCTATGGCCCTTTGGCCCCTCGGTTGGAGATGATATAAAATATGATCTAACACTGTTCATTAAAATATAATTTCTTGTTGGGCTATAGGGCTAAAAGGAGCCATTTGGCCGTCCTTCGGTTGGAGATGGCCTAATAGTATTCATTTTCACTTGTAAGTGAGAAGTCTTAGGTTTGATTCTCCCCAAAGGCGAATTTGAATCACATTATTGCTAGCCCATTGTGAGACTTAGCCCACTTTTCCGCCCCGTTAGTGTAGATAATATTGTCTGTTCAACAAACAAAAAAAACTTCTTGTTGAGGTTCTCGATGGCTTTCGTTGGATCTCATCGAACACCATAATTAATTGATAATACGAAGACTAGATCAACTTACTTATAAGCCTATGTAAGGTCATTCATCTCATCAATATATGATTTATCCCAACACTGACCACAGTCAATGGGGCATTACGACGACGACTCAGTGGCAGTCCTTAAGGATAGTCAAGTAGATTAACCCACATCTCCTAAACATTTTTATTTGTATTTTTATAAGTATATATTATGAATTAATTAAACAAATTATATAGTATTGCCATGAGATTTAAGATTACAAAAATAGCTTTTGTATCACATGAAATGGAGGTAATGTACCTTCATCAATGGAAGAATACGAGACAACGAATATCTAGAAAAATCCTTAACAAAACTACTCCCCAAGAAGCCTCCTCGGCGGTGTTTTCGTCCAGGTTTCCCTCGTCCAGCCAAATGAATCGCTTGAAAGATGCGACGAACGGAGTTCATGTCAGGCCAATTTGCAATGCAGTCACAGACGTGGAGACAAGATCACAAGAGCAAGGTACACAGATCCACAGAGATATGTGAAAGATATGAACGCCCTACGCGTAAAGCACTTCGTAGTTAGAAAACAACGAAAATGGATAAAAAGAAAAGAGCGGAGGAGAAACCATAAAGGCTTACCAAATGACACCCCATCCACATCCAGTACAGCAGGGACACTCATCTGCAAATCTTTCAGCATCACTCGTATTAATTCTACGCGATATAAGATCATCGTATATATCTGCATTGACCGTTACATGTATACGTTACAAGGTATCTATGAGTACAAAACATGCAGTTAAAATGACGATCAAATAATATCGTTTCGTACCATACACCGAAAACAAGCTGTTCATCACACCTAACATTAGATAAAATAAAGTAAGCGTTAGACGAAATGAAGCATATATAAATTACTTTCTCAAGAAATAGTTGAACGAAAATAGCGGAGATGCAATTACCGGTGAACAGAATCACTTCCCTAAGCATATGAACCGGCGTTGCTTCTTGCAGATACCAAATTGCAGCAAATAAAACAATGAATCCTGGTAGTTCAACACCGTAAAACATAAACAAAACCCCAAACGTCAAATTGCATCGTGTGCTAGTAGTAACAGGACGATGTTTTGATGAAATACGGAATCCATACCGATGCAAAGTCCTCGAAGCGTCCACTTGTACGATATCAAGAAGTACAAACACGACAGAAGCTTTTAGTTAGCAAGTTTTACTTCCATAGAAATCAAGTAAAAGATGGGTTTGCTATGACTTACATTTTTAGCTAAAAAGAATACAATAATTAGGGCAACGATGAAACAGCCAGCAGCGATTTGTGTAGTGAGATGCTTCGTAGATGCAAGAATCAATATCATCCCCCAAAACGATGAACCAAGATCTGGCGTGCCACAAAATTGAAAGATGATAAATGTAACAATTAAATCAGGTGCAATGTGCATGTTAATTGAAAAGAAAATATGGTCAAGGATAGAACGAAATTACATCCGGCTGGCAAAATTATCCAGGATATGCCACCGCGGGTTTGTGTGACTCCACCTTCATCTGCCTGAACTTTAATCCCTTCCACCTGCAGACTAATCTTATCATTACCCCGTCTCAAACTAAACGCGACCATTCTAATTAAAAATTTAGATAGAAGTGTGAAAGAATTTCTTACCTTACCACATGTAAGCAAACAAGCGATAGCATGGCTCACCTCGTGAAGAAACACGGTTATAAGCTTAAAAGGTGTCATCAGCACTGTCCTCCACAGCTACAAGAATTGACGAAACAAGTTGACACAAAAACATCAGCGGATTCTTTACGTGTTTAAAAATTAAAACAAATTTGATTAATTAGATATATCCAAGTACCAAAATTTTGCTACGAGCTAAAGATCGTGAGAGAGAGAGAAAGGGGGTTACCACAAGTATAACAACAGTGCAGACAGCAACGGAGATGAGGAAGATTACTTGGTCGTGGTTGCAGCATTTTCTGAGTTGCCAATTTGGCCTCCATTTCATGAAATTCAAATTCAACTCCATCTCTTCTCCTTTTTTTGGAAACCAAATACTGCAAGAAATTTTCATGTGGCATTGGCGTTGCCCCATAGCGATATGAATAATGAATATACAAGAAAATTAGACAGGAAATACATGAAGTGTTTGAATTGCAGATAAAACTCGTCTTCATATAATTATTCAAGAAATTTGTAAATGTAACACAATGTGGGACCTGCAAATTGGATTTCAGCAGTTGAATTCGAGGTTAGCTTTTGCGCAAAGCTAACAGCACGACAGATTGGTTTCCCCACAAGCCGGAAAGAGGGTGAGCTATGAAGGTCAAGGTTCTTCAAGCCTTGCCCTATGTGCTTCCGATTCTGAACAAAGACGGCCTTCCAGGGCCCCCTGGTGATGAACCGAGGGAGCGCAGGGCTTCTGGGATTTGTTAATTGAAAATGTTGTTCTCTGTAATTCATGGTTTCTGTCTGTTTTGATTTGTATAAGGTTTGAGGTTTTTCTTTCTTGTACGTGGTTGGTGTAAAACACAGGTTTGTGTTGTTGCCTAAAACTGAGGCTTCACCTTCACCTTAAAATAGTAAATCTTTTGACATTTGGATAATCAAAGAGTTAAACAAATTACATTCATGATTAAAATTAATTACTTCATTTAGAAATACAATTGGATTGATTTCAATTGATAACACAAGGTACAAATATATACTAGTCAAGTGACTTGGTGTACAAGTAAACTTAATCCCACAAGAATTTACGTAACTTAGCCCAACAGAATCCGAACCCGATTCTCGTACACTATCACTTTACATCACAAAAATGGAGCTCACAACACAATTGAATTACAAATGAAGGTTATTATTAATCATCTACCTTCGTCGATAGAAGAATGAGACATCCAATTTCTAGAATGTTCCTCACCAAAACTGCTCCCGCGACTACTGGCATTAGTATTGTTGGTAAAAGCGGAGGTAGGGGTGGTTGTCCAACATCCTCTACGGCCCTGGAATCCAGGTTTACCTGGCCTCGGCAAAGTAAATGAATCGCTCGATAACATGAGATAGATGGATTTCATGTCCGGCCTTTCTGCAACACTTGCTTGACAACATAGAATTCCTAGCTGAACGCACATTGCTGCCTCGACGGGATTGCACCTGGCCAGGTTTGGGTCAACCAAGTCCAATGCTTTCCCTCCTTGATGCAGCATCCATGTCTGCGGAAGAGAGCGAAGGAAAGTGAGGGTTATATGAATTGACTGAGCACATATTTCAACAGAAGAAAAAAGAAAAAAAAGAAACTGCGTGAGCATTGGACGATAACACCTGTAATGATTACTTAGGTTAGAGTTCGTTAAGAGGTATTCCTATTAGATAAGCTGCGCTATGCATTATCGATAACAAGAATCAGTTTCGGTATTCCCTAAATTTGCAGAGGTACCAAGTATAGTTAGTAACTTAGTCACACTATCGAGGGATCATATTTTGATTTGTGCTTTGCATAATTTGCAACAAAACTTTCCACATAACATACATAGCTCAAGAGGTCGGCCTTTTCTCTTTCAAGCTGCCCATCGTGGTTCTTTCTCCCACTGATGATCTCTAACACCAAGACTCCGTAACTGAAAACATCCGTCTTCACCGATAAATATCCATGCATTGCATATTCAGGAGCCATATAACCACTGCATTCAACAAAAGAATTCACTCAATTCCGTTTTTCTTTGCTGCTCGACGAGTGGGATGAAATGGTAAAAACTTTGTGTGGCATAAAGGGAAAAGGAAGTGAAGAAAAGAGACTACTCACTGAGTGCCAGAAATCCGAAATGTATTGATATGAGTGTCCTCCCCAGGAAAGAGTCTTGCCAAGCCACAATCCGAGATTTTCGGGTTCAGCTTCTCATCTAGTAATATATTACTAGCTTTGATGTCCCTATGAATGATTCTTTCCGGGGTCTCTTCATGAAGGTAGAGAAGACCTCTTGCCACACCCTTAATCACCTGAAACCTTGTCGTCCAATCCAAGCTTCCAGATTTCTGTTTATCTGAAAGTTTCGGGTTTAACCAAATGAAGTAATCCATTCAAATTCACTCTGATGCCGAGATGAACACGTATAAATTCAAAGTAGGGAAGAGCAACAAACCGAAAAGAAAGTAATCGAGGCTTTTGTTTGGGAGATACTCGTAAACCAACATCTTCTCAGGCCCTTCTACACAACATCCCAATAACGTGACCAAATTCTTGTGTTGAACTCTCAGTAACAGTTTCACCTCGTTGGTGAATTCTGTAGCTCCTTGCGGGGAATCTAACGAAAGCTTCTTTACAGCTATTTCTTGACAATTTGGCATCAAGCCCTGCATAGTCCATACAAGTAAGATAAATACTCAACAATCCGAAGAAAATAGAAATAAGTGGTATTTAAAAGATCACAACTTTTTTTTAGGACGATATTCTATTTAATCTAATATAAACTCCACTTATATCTAAACTACGGGTAGGTTAGACCATCCTTCACCCATTGGAACTCTATGTGTAAATTATCCTAGAGTGGTTTAGAATATATATTGTCTTGTCAAAAAATTAACAGCTTTAGCTACCAGAAAAAGGAAAAAAGCTCAAAACTTTACTTCTCAACTCTTATACATTACAGCAAACATGAGTTTAGCAAAGCTCGCTCGAGCAGTGTGGTACCCTTGGCACTAAAGTTTGAATTTTCTATCCCGTAGTTAAATTAATTTAGTATAGACCATCGCTTGTATTGGAAAAAAAAAACACTCATACACTTAGCAATCTACCATTTGAAGAAAAGACAGTAATGTTCCTCAAAGAATGAAGAATATACAAACTGAAAATTTGAAGGGAAATAAAAACATCATTCTTTCCGATCAAGCTAGCGATTTATGAGTCCGTACGTACCTTGTAAACGGGGCCGAATCCTCCGTGGCCGAGTTTGTTGAGCTCGGAGAAGAAACCGGTGGCGATTTGCAGCTCCTGGAGGTCGAAGAAGAGGTTGAACGAGTCAATTCCGTCCTCGGCATCGTCAGAGCCGGCTGCAGCGGCGGGTCTGCCGGCTCTCAGCCTCTCCAGGCAGACGCAGAAACTGGAGCAAAGTCCCATGAACGCATAAATTTGGAGCTAAGGAAGTTGTTGGCGGTTAGTTTTAATTAAAAACAGCTGCCTGGGGATATAAAACAAAATGTCATACAAATACCAACGCAAACTACTTGTAAAATACAAGGTCTTAGCTAGAAGAAGTACGATGATGCTGCGGAACTCGATAAAAAAAAATTTCAAAAAAAATTTACTTGAGACAGAACTTTAAGATATAAAAAAGAGAGCGTCACGCATGCTTAAAATTCAACATAAACAAACATTTGAATTAGCCTTCACCACCCTCGTCATCTTTGTAATAGTGAAACCAAGTAACGACATCGTCAAAGGTAACTCCAAACTTAATTATGCTTGAAATTTCTCAAACCCTTCTTTCTCTTGTTTAGCCGGCCACCATCTCTCTCTAAAAACTAAGGATGCGTTTGTTGCACCGAACTATCTCGGACTGGATTAACTTAAGGGACTAAGTTGGACTGGCTTAGACTAGACTAAACTGGACTGAATTAGTGAAGCGTTTGTTACAGTGTCGGACTAAAAAATAGGATAACAACAAATTCTAATATTATATTTTTTTCTTTCATATTTTGTTAATATCTTATATTATTTAATACATATTTAGTAATATTTTATTACTACCATTGTCTATTTCTTTTTTTCAGTCCGGAAACCTCCCATCTCCATTCCTAATTTTTTTTCCTTTGATCTTCCTTTTTCTTCCTAATTTTGCTATGACCCTCTCCATCTCTTCGTCTTTTTCTTTTCCTTTCCACGATCTCTTCCCTCAAAACAGCGTCATTCATCACCCCACTTTTGTTCTCTCTTTTTTTTCTCTTTCCTTTTCTTTGCTGTTGTGATTCCTCTAAATTATTTATGGCACCACAAATTCTGATTTCCCAACTTCAAATCCCACGGAAAATTGAAATCATGCAGAGGCTCCTCTCTGCAGCGCCATGGATTTCACAACCACTCTATGTTCTCGCCCCTCCTTTGATTTTCTCAGAAAATCTCTTAATTTTCTAGGAAAATTGAAGTATTTTTCTATTGAGTTTGTTCTTGTTATCAAATTGATTTTTTTTTCTTTTCAAATTTTGATGGTTGGATGTTGAGAATTAGGCGGTGGGTGTGGTGGGTTTCAGATCTGGGTATAGGTGGCCAGAGTTGTAGAGAAGCAGACGACTTGCAACGTGAAGACGATGTAGCTTGCAGACTTTGTACGTAGCTTTAGAGAAAGGATTGGTAATCCCATATGTTTTGGGCGGCCTAGCTAAGAACCGGTAGTGAAGGACTTAGTCGGCACGAGTCCAACTTAGTCTCATTAAACTTAATCCTTGTTCCAACCAAACACGGATTAGAAATCCCAACAAAGCCAATCTAGTCCAGTGAAGCTTAGTGAGGGCAAACAAAAATTTACAACAGTTCGTTTCGACCAAAAATTAATTTTTACAACCCAACAACTAAGACCTCCAAAAGATCACAGATAAACAGAGGAAGATTGCCAGACCAAGTACAATTACTCTTTGGATGGAAAGCAAACCTAGCAATTCTATTAGCTACAGAGTTGGCATCACAGCGAACATGGGAAATAGAAACTTCAGCGATCATTTCCATAAAGATCTTGGCATCTTCTATGATAGGTCCAATAGTTAACAAATCAGTAGAAGAATCATTCAATGCAGAAACAATTTGAAGTGAATCGCTCTAAAAAACTGTATCTTGTAAACCCTTTTCGATCACCAATTTGAAGCCAACTCTAACCGCCAACACTTCGATTTGAGTAGGAAAGAACACCTCCTGGAAATTAAATGAGGCAGCCCTGATAAAGCCTCCATTAGAGTTGCAGATTACCACCACCACACCACCAACAAACTTTATGTGTTGAAAACTCAAAAAGTGTGTTTTTGGACTTTTTATTTTTTGGGTTCACCACCCACTCCCATCTGTCTCTCTCTACCACTCACTCCCCTTTCTCTCCCTCCATTTCTCTCTCTACCACTCACTCCCGTCTCTCTTTCTCCTTTCTCTCTTGGAACCCTCTTCTCTGTTGCCTCTTCAATCTCTTCCCACTTGCATCCACCATAGCCACCACCTCAATCCTTCTTCCTCCAGCTGAGATAAATCGACGGCAACAAATAGTCATTGGTTTTGGGGGTCGTTGGATCTCAGATTTGAGATCGTCAACATGACCAACCTTAGTCTATCAATGCGAGTTTGGAGGAAGGAGTCGATAAATAGCAAAAAGGGTCTCCAGGGAGGGATGTCGTGGGTTGGGCATTTGATTTTTCCTGTTATGAATTAGTTTTGAGAAGTTGCATGTCAAACAAGGTTTTGAATTTAAAATTTTTAAATCAAAACATGTGTTTTTAGAAAAAAAAACAAAATTTCGAGTTCTGTTCTCAAATTGGATATCAAACTGACCCTAAAATTTCAATGCGTTTCTAATAAAAATACTCTTACATTATTTTTGGACGAAGAAATTAAGATTATTAAAAAAATTTAAAATGACAGAGATTTTATTTTCTAAATTTGTAAATTTTTTTTGTTTAGTTAACCTAAAAGAATAATGAAATTGAATACGAAATTTATTATTTTTAAACTCTTAATCAAAGAAATAGTCTTTTCACTCTTTTTTTTTGTTTGTTGCAAAATTTTATTCGGTCAAATTACATTACTGCTCTTAAATTTTAAATTTTTGTTGCGATAGAAGACTAAATAATCTTGTCACTCTCTTTTAATTGATAAAGAAAATTTCATTATTAGGGTAATTTAATAATCAAGTTAATTAATTCCATTCAAGTGAATTATAAAACAACTCATATGGAACTACGTCATTTATTCTGATTCTAGATAGATTAGTAAACAATTTTAACATAAAATCTAATTCTGTGTTCTCATCAATATAATTCTTCTTCGATACATTTTCGCTTAATTTCATTAGGATTAGTATATGAGCCTCAATAGTTGTAATTCAATTCCTACTTTTTTTTTTTTTTTTTCATGTTTCCCAATTTACCCCCGCGAAAGAGTTAAAATTACCTCCTTGTACGCACCCGTTCTCGGTTTTTCCAGTTTCCACCCTCTTTTTTCGTCTGGTTACGAAGCCGCCATTGACGACCTTGCCCCGGGGTTCCATGCTCAGAACTCAGAAGCAGGCATCGGAGCGAGCAAACCCTAGCTCCTCGATCCCAGAGGATGTTGCGTGTGTAGAAAGAAAGAAAAATTTGGTACGATGAGGTCGTCGTCTTCCTCCGATAGGATTAACATTGCCGCGAGTGCCCAGCGACTCGATGTCGACAATCGGATTCCTCTGCGTATCTACTTTCGGATCGCCAATAATATCCTCAAGCAGGTTTCACTTCACTCGCTCTTTCTCCTTAATTTTTCAGCAAATTTGTTAATTAAATTTTCATTAATTTTGAATTTATGCTGGGAATTTTGAATTTATTTGTTAATTAGCTTATTTTGGAAGTGGAATTTTGATTGTTGGTGCTTTGTATGAGCGCGCCTTTTTATATGGATTATTTAGATAAATTATCTGTAATTTGAGTTTCAGAAGCTGGAATATCTTGTATAGATCATTAGGGTTTACTAAGGATTTCAAGAATTCAAATTGGTAGCTTGCGGTTGATAGGACCCGAAGGATCAGTGCGATTAACAGAAAAATAGTAGAAGAAGAACAAACACAACGAATTTGGTCACTTGTAGGGATCATCATTATCATTCAAGTAGGAAATAACTACATAAATAAATCGAATGCAGTAAAGCAAAAGCAATATTTTAGACAGTTTCGGTGTTTAACACAAACCCGGGCATAGTGGCGTACTAGGATTCGTACAACCGACCCCACTTAGTGGGATAAGGCTTTGCTGTTGTTGTTATTGTTCGGTGTTTGACTCACTCAAATTATAGGAATGTATCAGTTGAGTCGTGAATTGCAGCTAAAGGGATCAGGTTACTTATATAGAGCTTGCTATTCTGGTGCCAATGCATCTTATCTTCTGCATTCATATTCTGATAACATCAACAGGTGTCCTCCATATGTGCCATATCCATTGCCGCTATAATGTATATTGAAGTGCATTTTTTTGCGAAATATTGCACTTACTTTTTCTTAACAGATTGTGATATGGATGTTTAGTTGTTCCTTTAACATCTTTGCTCTTTTTTATATTACTAGAAAATGATTAAAATGTATTTTCCCCCTAGTTTATAGTCTTGTTTTTGTTTTCGAATGTCGTTTCAGCTCATAAAAAAAATTGTTGAATTGTAGGCTGACATTTTTCGACAAGAGAAGAATATTATAGACCTATATATTATGCTACTAAGGTTTTCAAGGTATGTACGTAAGCACCAGTCAATTAATTATACAGTCAGCTAGGTTATATGAAGTAGGTCCAAAGTATACACAGAATGTATGTGGGGAGATATGCAAAAATGTTTAAAAGTAATGGTGAAACTTTTTGGTGTTCTACTTCAGTTTGGTCTCTGAGACAATACCGCATCATCGAGACTATAGAGCATCTATTCAAGGAGAGAAGGTTTTCTTGAAAACGGTAATGTTGTCATATCATCTTTAATTATGATAAAAGTTCTTTTTATTATTCTGTTTTTGTGCACAACATAATTTTAGTTTTTTGCTCTAGAAATTGTTTGATGCTCTGAATGAGCTCGAGGAGCTCAAGCCAGCAGTGAAACAGAAGCTTAAGCCAGCCATGAAACATAAGAACGATGAATTTAACAGAATAAATGGAAAATTTAACGACGGGTGGAGCCATAATAACCAGATTGATTTTGTGGTTTCTCCTCTCAAGAAGCAATCATTGATAAGCTATGATGCAACCAAGGTACAGTTAGTGCTTACTGCTTTGTCATACTAACGGACATTAGACGTTTCATATGAAAAAAGTGGAAACTACTGATCTCAATTTTCGTTCTTTGACTTTGTTGCCTGCCATTGTCATTTTCTCCTTATACTTTGCTTCTTCTTTCATTTTCCGACCACCACTATTATATGTATGACAGGCAGCAAGACCAGCTGCAAGAGAAC